TAATTTATTCTTTTAGATATTTTGTTTTCTGTCAAGTTAGTAGTGGATTGGTACTTCTTGAGTCCCTCTTGTCACGTGTTAATAATCAAGGTTTAACTTAAAATATTATCAATAAATATAAGATAGGAATTTATATAAAAATTTTACTGAGTAAATCTCTTTTGCTATGTTATTGGCTTTGTAGAATCCCTTATGTTAGTAACTCCGTTTTTCAAATGATAGCCTATTATTTTTCATGGCATTTTCACTATCATGTCTTGAATTCCTACTTTTATTTGTCCCATTTATTATTATAAAAAGAATTCAGATCTAATTAGGCCTATTTATAGAGAATAGAAAGTTTTTGAAAGACTATATTGTTATTCTTGTGATTTGGCACACTTTCTATTTAATGATTTTAGGAGATAGCTATAAAGGATAAGTTTAAACAAAGTTTTTATAGGGTTGGAATATAATGCTTCAAATATTTTGTCATAAGTTTATTTGGCTTTTCTCTATAAATTTACTATATACAAGTATTAATGTAATAAATATATTATAACATAATTTTTTTTTCCAAAAATTAAGCTCTAACCAATGCAAACTTGTTCAATGGTAGACATTATTCAATTATTCCATATGAAGCAATGATGGTCTTTTAATTACACTTGAGGTGTAATTAATGAAAACCTTTATATACATATAGAGATATATAAACACTTGGATAGGGAGGATTTGCAAGAGGTATTAACATTTAGGGAGATGTTTTTATTTAGGCTTATAGATAATATTAACAATAAGTTACCATCTTTGTGTGGATGATAAACATTTGTGAAGTGTGATGTATCCCTAGACAAAATGTCAAGATGTGAAATGCCTTAGCTATAAATATAAGACCATTATCTAAGATAATCTGTTTTAGACAAGAATGCTGAAACACCACTTGAAAGTATCCTATAACAATTATAAATGCACTAGCAAGATCACCAACTTCCATCCAACAAATTAAGTAATTGGACACAATAATGATATACTCATTATCAATAGTCAACCATGGAAAAGGCCCTATTATATTAAATGCCACCAATTGAAAAATGGATAGAAAATTACAATTGACTCCAATTATTTTTCCACAACACAAGAGGGAGTATTTACAAACTTAGCACTAAATAAAGTTATGCACATACCAGGTAACATCTCATTACATTTTTAGCTAATAGAAAAACTTACATAATTTCTCAGTCAAATGACAATATCTTATATGTCTTCCTAGAATAGGAAAGTGATGGTCGTATGGAGAAAGTGCCCTTTGTACGAAATACTTTAGCTACTGCATATATATAATTTTTAGAAGATCAATTTCTTGAATGTCATAAATTTGTAGTTTAACTTGTTGTAACATTGTAACACCTAATACGGTCCTTTTTATTGAGCCCTTTAGACAAACTTTATATGGTAAAATTAAGAAAATGAATTAACATTAAATCATCTACTTTGTACTTCATATGTGAAAAATGATAGGGTTTATAGTGCTATTGTTGTCCCACTTGTATGTGGCCTAAGTGTTCAGTAGAATTCACTCAAATCAGTGGAAAAATGCTTATCAAATACTGATCTTAGGATTTAGCATTAATAACTCATGACAATCGTAAAAGCAAACTCAACTACATTGGTAATATCAAATTATGACCTTATAAGAGTTTATATGATGAAGCACCAGTAGAATTCTATATCCCCATGACATATGTATACCAAAGAAATAGTAAATAACCATCACAATCTGAATGCTGCAAATTCATGTACTTTGTGATCACTATTTTTGAAAGTCCAAATGAGCCATTCCACTAAACCCTTTGTTTATGGATGATAAGTACTTGCAAAAGTGTGGCATATTCCAAGAAAAATGTTAAAATATGAAATTCTTTAGCTTTAAATGTAAGACTATTATTTAAGAAAATCCACTCTAGAGAAAAATGTTCAAATACCACTCGATTGAGTAGAAAGTATTTAACAAAATTGCAAACACACTAGCAAGAGCACTAACTTCCACTTAGTGAATCAAATAGTTAAAAGCAATAATGATTTACTTATTGCTAGCAATTGACTATGGAAAAGGCCACCACCACCACCAAACACCACCAACTCAAATGAATAGGAAATTATAATTAATTCCAGCCATCCTTCCATAACATAAGGAGAAATATTACGAGCTTTACACCAAAAGCAACTATATATATACCAAATAACATTACATCACATCTTCAGTTAATAGAAAAATCTATGCATCTTTTTAATAACAAGATAATATCTTATATATCCATCTAGAATAAGAAAGTTATGGTAGATATAGAGAAAGTGTGGAATAAAAATTGAAGGCACCATTAGCCATAAATGTTCATTAAGATTAGTCCTCACAAAATAAAGAAGGTCCTCTTCAACATGATATTAAGAATGTAAATGTCAAAATGGCAAATTATCAATAAGTGATATAAGGTCCTCAAATCTATCATAAAGCCTTCAAATCTATGACTTAGGCTTTTAAGCCTCACGAATCTTATCAAAAGAAGGTAAATTTTGTTTTGTACTTTATGTACACTAAACATCAACTACACCAACCACCGATAGCATAAAATCCTTATTAAAAAAATCTATAGATGCTAAAATAATAAGCTCATCAAGAACATAAGAAGAAAGTAAGGAAGGAATAAGAGCTCAAGAAAAGGTGTTAACATTAGTCATAAAACTCTTTGGGTGATGAACAACATTAAAATCATCAATTAAATCAATTCATATTATCCTTGAATATATTATTACAATTAAAATCATCATTAAAATCATATTTTAAGCTTTAGGGCTCACCAAGTATTACGACCAACCAAATTCTTTCACTTCAATAATGAAGTAATCACACCATGATCATCTTTACAACCTCCAAAAACCATACAAATATGCATGAAGTTTTTCAAAACCTTAAATTATTACTAAACACTTTTCTGTTATGGAGTAGTTCACCCCCATTAGTTCTAATATACAATTTATGTACGCAATGAGATGATATTGACTAATATACTTATTCTCTCTTGCATCAATACACCCCTAAGATCAATATTATAAGCTTTCAAATCCATGGCTCAGGCTTTTGAGCCTCATGAACCTTAGGAAGTTGGTTTAAGAGTGAAGTGGATAAAATAAAAGATCAAGTGTAATTTAGATATGCCAAAATTAGAAGAGTTATTAACAACTCTTTGAAATTTATAAATGGCCATTTATAGTCCTTAGACCAAATGAAAAATGATGTTATTAACTTTAACAATACTCATAATGGTGTAGTACGATCAAAAAGACATGTGTATGTGATCATAGGATGAGATTTGAATATACTATCACTATGAATCATTGAAACCTTAGGGGTAAATAGAGATAAAATAGCCACTAAAATCTTTCTCATTGAGCAATTGCCCATTTTCTAGTTGGCTTAAGAAAAAAGAGATAAAATACATTACAAAAAACTAACTTTAACTCTTTTATGAAATTGAATGGTTAATGCTCTTTATCTAAGTATGGGTGGCACTACCTACTTAAATACCTTATATGGCTCATTGGAATCTTGTTTTAGGACAGGGCATCATAGTGGCAAAAGGTAGAGGGAGTATTTATGAAGTTTTTATTATGCTATAGTGTTTCAAAATGACATCCCAAAATCCTGAACCATGAAAAGAAAAATGAGTGGTCCTTTTACTTAATGACCAAAGGTATAGCTACATAGTGAAGAAGTCCCAAAAGGTAATGGGATTTAGTGAACTTGTGGTGGTGTTGGTGAACATTCTTAACTTGATTCATTTTGATATATTTGTCTTTGCACAAAGCAAGAAGCTTTGGAAGCAAACACTAGATTACATCACTGACTCAAACAACTTTTGATAAAAACAATGCAATTGTTAAAAAGTATTATCACAATTGTCAACATGTCTAACTATGTGCTTAAAGATATCCAGAAGAAGGTTCCAATCCACACAAATGAGTGTGCTCAAACCATTGTACCATTGTAATATTGTCTCTTAGAGACATAATGAAAACTCACTTAGATGCTAAGCATCATTCTATGATAGGTAACAATCACTGTAAAATGATTGAATTAATGGTACACATCATTCTAGGATCCTTATGGAAGAACTCTAATCAAATGTGAGGATTATCAATAATAGCAAAAGGAGCTATACCACACACTGTGAATGTTACCATTAATTAAATCTGATTATTCAACTGCAACTGTATAGCATTGAGCAAGTGCACCAATTGCTACTCTAGAGTCAAAAGAGGAGGAGGTTACTGCTCTGCCATAAAAAATGATGTAAAGTAGAAAAACAAAACAGAAGAAATTTAAAAACTACAAAAATAGAGAGATTTAGATAATGCAAAAACTAAATTTAAATCAAATACATAAATCCAAACACTCTGCAAGAACAATTAAAACCACCTTGTATAGAAATATAGAAATAAAATACAAAATATACATATTTAACCCTAGCTTATATACAAGAGTAAATGTTCCAAACTTAAACTAATACAAAATCCCACTACACTAATATTAATATATGGCATTATAATTGTACACTTAGACCTCACAATTTTAATTTTCTTTTGTTTTCAAGCTTGTCTCTAGAAGATTTTTCTCACAGTGCATATTCCTACTGTGAACAAATGTTAAGTATGCACAAAGAAGGCCTTCAAAATTTTCTCTCTATGCCAAAGTCTTTATATCTCCCAGCACCATTTTTGTGTTTCAAGTTAATCCTCAAAAGTAATTTTTCATCCACTCACGCTCCGACTTCTGGACCTCGATCTACACAAAACATGGGATTTGATATTTACTAGCAAACTAGGGGAATTGTCTGATGCACCAGTGGACACTTCTATCAGCCTGGAACTTCACATATTGGTATGCTTTCCCTCAAAACCAGGAGCAGGAGACAACTTTATACATCTTAACATATACTAGAATATTCAAGGATTTTCATAGAGACTCTCCAAGCCTGAGCTTTCCATCACTATTTCAGATATGGATCAAGAGCTCCCTATTAGGAGATAAAGATGTAAAGTTGCTCCGGAGCTGCTGGAGGATAAGATACTAGAGTCTTGATGACAACACAATTTTCATTCCTGACGGTCTAAATCCCTCTCCAACTTACACAGATTGCGATGGTATCCTACCCACAAAACCCCAACCTTGAGGGGGCCAAATCTAGAAATTCATAAAACCTTAGCTACAACTTTAACAAGACAACGCAAGGCTTGCTCACCCGGTAAAACACCCTGCCCTGGAGCAATGCAGAAGGCACTGGCCCATACTCCCGCGAGTCTCTCGACTTGTGGAAGTTATCCCCTTGAAGCCAGACATGTCCCTTCGGTATCTGCAAATGATAGAACTAAACACCAAAAGGTATAGAAACTCGAGTGAGCACCTTAACCTTTGCCGAACCTCCTTTATCACTCACCACAGTGATGGTGTCACCCTCCAGGCCAAGGATTCTCTTGCAGACTACCATGCGTGGATCGGATGGTGATCTCGCCATGACAACGTCCCCGACTCTGATTTTCCCAAGCTTTACCGACAATCGCTCGGTCACCAGGATGTCCCCTCGTATATTAAACGTTGGAAGCATACTGGGTCCAATGCACTGCGAAGAACAAACGGGCAGTGTTAAGATCTTTGCATAGCAAAAAGAAAGTAGGAGCATAAAGCAAGCACAAGATATAAAGGATGAAACCAAATAGAAAATATTTTGAAGAACAATCTAACATCGCGATGCAATGAATCAGGAGAAATTGTACTGATGTGCGAAATCCAATACATCGCACGACCGATGGATCAATGCAGGGGAAAAATCCAGAAAACAATGTGGCAAAGGCCATGAACCGGAAGAAAGAAGCAATGCGTGATCGAAGCGCCTCACCTGTTGAATCTGGAGGACGTGATTGGAGAAGACATCCATAAAGCACACACATTGCACAATCGCAGCGCCTCGCCCAGCCACATCGCTCAAGCTCTTCCATAGCATCGTTGCCCTGGCATCTTCTGTCAAGCCCTACCTGCATATTCCGTCTGCAACATATTCCGTTGGGAGCAAAGCATATGCCGTCTTCGTCTTCCTCCCGAAACCTAGCAATGGCCGGCGGCGAATGACCGCCGTGAGTGCTTGTTGCAGGGAATCCCTCGCTCGCCTCTTGCGCCAATGCTCCAGCCTCGTCGAGGGGCGAGCCCTCCACGCCAGGATCGCCGCCGCTGGGTTCGCGGATCGCGATGTGCTGCTCAGCAACATGCTTGTTCGAATGTATGGCAACTGCGGCAGCGTGGGCGATGCCTGCCGCGTCTTCGACGCCATCGAGCCCAAGAATCGCTTCTCCTGGAACATGATCCTGGCCGCCTACGCGGAGAATGGCCACATCGACGCAGCGCGCGCGGCGTTCGTCGCCATGCCCGCGCGGGATCTGGTTGCGTGGACAGTCCTTATAGCCGGATTCGCGAAGAGCGGCGAGATGGAAGCCGCGATAGCTACGTTCTTGCGGACGCCCCAGTGGGATTCCCCTTGCTGGAATGTGCTTATCGCGGCATTTGCCCAAACAGGGCAATGTGCTCAAGCGAAGCATGTCTTTGATTTCATGCCCGAGCCCGATTCCATCTCCTGGAACACACTGATGCAAGCTTTCGCGCAGCACCATTCAATCTGTGATGCCAAAGAAATCTTTGATCGAATGCCCGCGCGGCAGCTCTCGTCCTGGAATTGTCTACTCACTGCATCTGCCCAAGCAGGGGATTTGCAGTGGATTGACGATGTCTTTGATCGGATTCCTCTCCATGATGTGATCTCCTGGACGGCATTTCTAGGGGCCTATGCTGAATCACACAAGCTCGATTCAGCACAAGAGATCTTCGATCGTATGCCCGAGAGGAACGCAATCTCTTGGAACGCGATGATCGCGGTAAATGCCAAAGCGGGGCGAATCCACGATTCGTGGTCGATGCTGCGGAGGATGCCCCAGCACAGCGTCAATCCCTGGAACGCGATCCTCCAGCACTGCCCGTCGATCGACCGCGCGCGCGAGCTCTTCCAATCGATGCGCCACAGGAACCTCTTGTCCTGGAACACTGCTCTCGGGGTCTTTGCGGAGCAAATGGCCGCGATGGGCGAGCTCTTCGATCGAATGCCAGCGCGCAGCATTGTCTCCTTCAACGCCGCGATCAAAGCCCACACCGATCGCGGGGACGTGCACGGCGCGATGGCGGTGCTGGATTCCATCCCAGGCGACGGTGGTAGTGGCGGCGATCTCATCTCCTGGACGATGATCGTGGCGGCCCACGCCCGCCGCTATGGCGGCGCTGCCGACGCGATCTACCTCTTCGATCGCCTCCCTCACCGCGATCTCTACTGCTGGAACGCGCTCCTCGTCGCGCTGGCTGAGAACGTTTTGAGCGGCGATCATCTCATCCACGCGAAGAGGCTCTTCGATCGAATGCCCGCCCACGATTCGTGCGCTAGCAACGCGATGATCCAGGCGCTCGCGGCGGAGCATCGAATCGATGGCGCCAAGACCGTGTTTGATCGAATCCCCCGCCCGGATCTCCAGCTCCTCCCAGGAACATCGATGATCAGCCTTCTCGGCCGGAGTGGTGGATCATCCCTCTCCCAGGCACTGGCGATCTTCCACGGCCTCGCCCAGCGCGATCAGGCCTCCTGGAACGCGATCGTGGAGGCGTGCGCTCGATTCGGGGAGCCGACCATTGCTGCCGCCGCGATCGATCGAATGCCGCAGCGCGACGAGATCGCATGGGTGGTGATCATCACCGAGCTCGCACAGCACGAAGGAGGATCCATAGATCGATCAAAAGCCCTCTTTGATTCGATCGGCGAGCCGACCACCGCGATCTGGAACGCGATCATCGCGGCCCACGGCCACTGCAAGCTCTACCGCGGGGCCATCCAGTGCTTCCGCGAGATGGATCTCTCCGGAGTGGAGAGCGACGAGGTGACGTTCTTGGCAGTCCTGGATGCTTGCCTGGGAGCTCCAGCGCTGGCCGAGGGGAGGATCATCCACGCCAGCTTGGTGGATCGATTCCACTCCCGCCACTACTCGGAGATCATCACCAACACGCTCATCAACTTCTATGGCAAATCCGGGTGCTTGCGCGAGGCCATGGAGATCTTCCATGGATCAAAGCTCGGTGGTATCTCCTCCACGTCATGGAATGTGATGATCGGAGCTTACGCTCACAATGGTCTCTCGGATCGAGCCAGCGAGCTCCTGGAGCTCATGGCGCTGGATGGATCTCTCCCGGATGCCTCGACGCTTATGAGCCTTCTCACAGCTTGCGCTCACGCCGGGAAGCTCCGCTACGCCCGAGACTACTTCGTCACTCTCAAGGGGGATTTCTTCGTGGAGCCCGACCGCGATCACTTTGGCTGCGTTGTGGATCTCTTGGGACGATCCGGGAGGCTCCAGGAAGCGCTGGAGCTCGTGGAGAGCATGCCTTTCGAGCCCGACGCGGTGGCATTGACGAGCTTGCTGAGCTCGTGTAGGAATTTGCACTCGTCCGACGAGGAACTCGCGATTGGAGGGCGCGTTCTTGGAAAGTTGGCGGAGGTGAGCTCGAGATCCGCGGTGTTTGTCATGGCCTCAAGCATGCAAAGGGACGTCCAAGGTAAAAATCGATTCTTTCTATAGTGCTTCTTAACTTGTATTTTTCTTTTTGGGTGTTAGCGTGAACGCGGCTATGGCGGAGAGGCTGGAATTGGGAGAAGCGGCCCCAAACTTTGAGGTGTGCTCGCAGCATTTCTTGTTTCGATTTAATTTGTTTCTCTAACTCTTGGGAAGTTTCAGCTCCCGGAGCCTTTGAGTGGAAAGACATGGAAGCTCGAGGATTTCAAGCAATCTCCAGCACTTTTGGTGACTTTGCTTCTTCTTTTCGTCCAGGAGATTCTAAAACTTGTTTTGCAGGTGATGTTTATCTGCAACCATTGTCCATATGTTGTGCATCTGAAGGAAGCCATTGCCAAGCTTGCACAAGAGTATTCACAGGTGGAAGGGAAATCTTTCCTTTTTCTCCTTCTTGGGTTTTAATAGCGTTTGTGCAACAGAAGGGTGTTGCTGTGGTTGGAATCTCCTCAAACTCGGTGGCAACACATCCAGAAGTGAGAAAATTTCGCTTGTTTTTCGCTTTTCTTGCTTTTGTCTTTCTTTTTTCTTTTTCTAGTTTGCAGAAGTTTTGAGAGTTTGTTTGATGTGTAGGATGGACCTCAGATGATGGCAGAGGATGCTAAAAAATTTGGCTACAACTTCCCATATCTTTATGACGAGGCATGTATTTTCTTTTCTCTAGAGCTCTCTCTCTCTCTCTGTGTCTCTCGTGTTTTCTCTTATTTTGTCTAAATCCTTGTCTCCACAGACTCAGCAAGTTGCTAAGGCTTATGGAGCTGTTTGCACTCCGGAGTTTTTCTTGTTCAAAAAGGTAACTTGGTTTTCTCGCATAACAGTTGGAAAAAAAAACATCTTTTCTCCTACCAGTCAGAAGAAAAATGCTTCGAGCTCGTATACCACGGCAGATTCGACGAGTCCCGCCCTCGCAGCGGCAAGCCCATAACCGGAAGGCATGGCTCTATGCTCCAATTTCCATATCCAGTCCAAGCTATAGCTAATTCGCTTTGGTTGATGTTTACAGTGATATTCGCGAGGCACTGGACTGTGTTCTTTCTGGCAAGCCAATTTCTGGGACACAATTCGCAAGGTCAGAAATATATCTTTCTTTTTCTCTCTTGTTTCTCACACGATTTTTTTACTACAAATACAGTGTTGGCTGCACTATCAAATGGCACCCGCAGTGAGCTTAAAGCTCCATCTTTTAAGCCTGTTTGCTACAGTTTTTAAAGTAAGTTCTTTGTATTTCTTTGTGTTCAAGCAGGAAATAAGCTTCAAGAGCAAAAACCATGAGTGTTTTTTAAGAAGTGTTTTTTACAATCAAAACAAAAGAATTAAATTCTCTGCTTTTTTTCTTTTTTTTTTGGTTTTTCCGTTTAGCTGCCAGGAACAAATCTGGTGGCATAGGCCCAAGCATTGTTGACCACAGGGTTGTCGAGATGATCGAACAAGTTTTCCAAAGGTCCCTTGCCGGTGACAATAGCTTGGACGAAGAAACCGAACATGGAGAACATCGCCAGCCTTCCATTCTTGATCTCCTTCACCTTGAGCTCCGCCAGAGTCTCGGGGTCGTCAGCAAACCCCAGGGGATCAAAGTACTGGCCACCGGGATACAAGTCACCGCCTTCTCCAACGTCAGGAAGTCCATTGATCCTGTAACCCTCGACCAGTCCCATGAGAATCACTTGGCAAGCCCAGATGGCGAGGATGCTTTGAGCGTGAACCAAGTTGGGATTGCCGAGATAGTCGAGCCCTCCGTCGGAGAAGATCTGGGAGCCGGCCTTGAACCACACTTTCTCCTTGAACTCCACACCGACCCATTTGGAGAGGACCTCCGGGAAGACGCAGCCAAGAGCTCCCAGCATCGCCCAGCGTCCGTGGATCAGCTGGTTTGTTTATCAAAAAGAAAAGAAACAACAAGTTGGTTTTCAAACTTACGAACACGAGAAGAGATCCAAGAAGTTTGGAAGTTCTTCCAAAGTTCTTGGAACTAAACGAGCGTACCTCGAGAGCGCGGTTGCGAGCAAAGGCCTCTGGATCAGCGGAGAGTCCGGCAGTGTCCCAGCCATAATCGCCAGGAAACTCTCCCTTCAAGTAGGATGGAGTTTGTGCGGAGAAAGGACCCAGGAACTTGACACGGTCTGGTCCATACCAGAGATCCTGGAGAGCAAAAAATTTATTAGAATTTTGAAGCAATGTAGGTGCTGGAGAGTAACTTTCGAGAGCTTACCATTGAAACCTTTGCTTGGCACTGGACGGATCTACCGCGAAGAGCATTCTTCCTGGACCCGGATCCCCGCAAGAAGGAGCTGCCGGACGCAGCCGCGGTGGATGCTGCAATCATCGCTGCTGCCATCTCAAGCTCTCTCTCTCTCTCTCTCTCTCTCTCTCGATCGATCGAGCGACTTACAAAAAACGAATGCGTCTATACTGTTTTAAAACCACACAACAATCCACGGAGGAGATAGGGTGAATGAATTACGTCCAATGGAAGGCTGCCTCGTGGCGTAGCCAAATCTCCACGTGGCGACGTTGTGGAAGCCCTTTAGATTCTGTGCTAGGCATATTCCAATCACTAGACCGAGAGAGGGATGTTTCTTCTCGTCCCTGAAATTGTTGATGTTTTAGGAGTCCATGTTACATGGGGAACATGTAAAGCTTTCTTCTTTGCACATTATGAATATAAGGAGTCAGCCCTCCAGCCTTGAGCACCTACCTTTGACAGTTCTACAAACTTTCTGAGTATGGTGCAATCGGCTAGAGTTAAGGTCATTACAGCTTGTAAAAGGCATTGAAGTTTTTAACAGAAGTCTAGTGAATTAATGCTCTTTAGCACTTGAATAAAAAGCCATTGGCTACCTTCAGCTGAGGATGATCTAATGGTTGGAGCAAACAAATGAAAGATGGCCACATCATCCAGAGATGGATGGATGCTTCTTGAGTCATTTAACCTCAAAAAGGGAAAACTTTAACTTTATATTGATATTAAAGGCTATGAAAATACTTTTTAAATATCTATATGAATCCTTTTTGGTTGTTTTCTGAGAAGATTCCATGAAAATGATCTATGATAAAAAGTTAATATATATCCTTTTTTAACATTACAACACTTGTTACAGATTAAGAGAGTTAAAACATAGACAATGTAAATAAATTAGAATAAAAGATTTATAATAATAAATACTAAATAATAGCTTTATAATTTATGCAAATGCAAAACATTTTCATTGTTAATAAAAAATGTTCTTTATGATTTTATTAACTCTCATATGTCTTCTATTAACAAATTTTAAATCATGTCTCACTAAACCAAATATAAAATGGGGAACAAATTATACTTTGACAAATGATGATATTAATAATATACTTTCATATGGTTTTGATACATTAATTTCAGAGATACTAGTGATTCAATTTTTCACCAAACTATAATAACTGAATATCTATAAATTTTGGACAAAGTGTGCAGTTGTAAGTGTTAAATGTTTTGTAGGTAATCCTACAAATTATTTTGTAAGTAGCCTTTCAAATAATTCTATTTCGGGTTTAAATATAAAAAATAGAATTCCTTATTTAGTTAAAAAATATAATAATACTATAAGAATAACAAAATCTAGTGAATGCACTATTATAGCTATTAATTTTGAAATTAATTATTTGTTTATTATTGGCAAAATAAGAATTTAACATATTTAACATATATACCAATATTTTCTAGAATAACTTATTTTCATAAAAATTGTGATATAAGTTTCTCAACATTATATGCAAGATACCCAAAAAATTCATTAAAAAAGGGTAAATTTTTTAAATCCTCTAATGGGAAGAATATAGTTTATTTAAATTTAAATTTTATACTTAAACTTTATTCTGGAGAAAATTTATTATAAAAGTCTGACAATAAAGAATATAATGATAATTGTATACTTACTCTCTAAACTAATGGCAACCTTATTTTATATAATTAATATTTTAAAAATTTATGATTAATAAATAAATTTTGTGTTAAATGTTTTTTTCTCACATATATTATTATTCAAAACGATTGCAATTTTGTAAGTTATAATGCTTCAGCACCAAATAAATATTGGTGGGCAAACATGTTGGATGCATAAAATAAAATAATTATTTTTTACTGTAAAAATTTTAACTGCAATATATTAAAGTAATTTTTAATAATTTTAATTTGAATATCCTACTAGTAAACCTTAGGGTTTCTTGTTCTATCCATGGGGCAAGCGTCTTCGATCGAGGAGGCTGTGGAAGTGAAAGCGCCGTCCATGGAGGAACGACCTTCTCTATCATTGCCTGCAAAAACGCTTATTGCTGGTGTTGCGTTTGGAGCATCGCTGCCGATTGCGCAGGTATTTTGATCTTCTGGACGGGGAAATTTCACTCCCTTTTTGCTGGAAGCGTGTAGGAAAGCTTTGCAGGATTTCCTGTGCCACTCCACTTGCGAGCTCGGCTTTTGGTGCGGCGTTTGTGGCTTTATGCTCGACATCTTCAATGCAGGTTCTTTTTCTTCTTTCTTCTTTCTTTGAAGAAACTGAAAGTAGATTGAATAGATTGTGAATCAAATCGAAAGGATTGCTGCTGCCGAGTTTCCAGATGTTGATGCTGGTTTCTCGTCGTCGTCTCAAATTCTTCCTGTGCTCTTACCAGCGTTGATAGGCCTCGTATCCTTCAAGGTATAGAATCAAGAGTACAAGTTTATGTTTCCTGCTTAAAACCAAATGGAAATCTTGTGCAGGCTTTAGGTGGCAAGTATCGGAATCTATTGCCAAGTGATGTGCGATTTCCTGGAGTTTATGCACTGGCTTATCTTCCTTGTAAGTTCTCAACTCTTCCATTTTGTTTCCTCGCATAAAGATCATCTCACAGCAGGAATGCGCTATGCCTCCAAGCACGAAAAGTTCCTCATCAGGCTTTTGTACAGAGAGTTTGGTTGCCACCACTGCGGCAAGACAATCGGAGAAAGGTAAAATCCCAAAACACTTAGCTTTGAAGCCTTCGATAGCGATTGATGATCTCGGTTAGCATTGCAGATCACATACCGCCTAATGCTCTTCACTGGAAGCCTCGGCGCCGGCTCAAACTGACCCAAAAGTTCTATCCTCAGTGCATTCCTTGCATGAAAGTCCAGAGCAGCTCACTCCGGCATGGATTGAATCCACTGGTCTATCACCACAAATCCGGCTGGCCACAGGTACTCGAAAGCTAAAAAAAACTCTATTCGCTCCACCAGGCTAAAAACTTCCCGTGTTTCTGTTCAGCCATTTGTATTTTCAGGCTTTTTTCTGCCTGCTCTTGTTCCAGATGCTGAAGAGCTCAAAGGAGAGCTGCTAACCTACCATTTTGCAAAGTGGACTTGACATTCTTTCTGACCGGAAGAACCATTTTATTAGTTTTAACATTTTTATATTTTTTCCGGTTGTGGAAAAGATTTACAAACATTTTTGTTTCCTTTTTGTACAGTCCAAAACATGCAAAACCTCTAGAAAACACTCTCTTTGAATGCTTGCTCAAGGAGAGGTCTAAACCTGTGCAGGGACAGCATGACATCCTGGTTCTGCAAGTAAATCTTCTTCATCTCCCACCAGCCCTTGGAGGTGATCTCCTCAGGATGTGCAACAGCTGCACTCTCCCGCCCCAGCTTCTTCACCAGGCTGCTCTCCTCCGCCACGATCTTGTACTCCAAATACCTAAGCCCTGCTTTCATGGCTGGCTGGCCATAGTAAGTCTGCGCAGCCCATTCCGTCCCCAGAGGAACAATCTGAATGAAAACCGAAGCCGGCCTCATAAACAGGAAGTGCGTGAGTGCCGCCCCATGCACGCCAACCATGACATGGGCCGAGTGCAGCTCCTCGTGAAGCTCAAACAGGGACGAGTGCGAGTTTGGTGCGAGCACAACGACACGGAACCCGATCTTCTTGGCCAGCCTCACGAGCGCGTTCTGGTTGAGCAAGACCCTGCTGCCCTTCCGGGCCAGCAGCACCAACTTTGGGCTCGAAGATCCGCCAACTTTGTTGCCAACTTTTGCGACGCGGGACATGGGCTTGAGTGGAGATTTCTGGGAGTTGAGCGAGGCTTTGAGCAGCTGCTGGAAGTCGCGCATTGAAGCTTCTGGTGCTTGGCTGGCGATGGCGAGCTCGTCGTGAATTTGCATCCCCAGGATTGCTTGCGGGAAGCAGTGGACACGCTTGGATCGATCGAAATCCTGGACGGGATAGTTTGAGAGCTTGCTCACGATGCTACCGTATTTCATCATCCACCATCTGTGGAGCTCCAGGACGAGGAAGACAACCTCGCCATGGAATTTGTGCGAGGTGATGAAGAGGGGAATGAGGCCGTCGTTAAACTCGTGGTAGACGTTGCCGGTGTAGCCGCCCGTGGAGAGGATCACCGCCGGGACGGAATGGTTTGTGTCGCAGGGCATGCTGGGCGAGGAGCTGCGAGGGAGGATTTCCAGCGAGACCTCTCCAATTGTGGCCATGCAGCTCTTCTCCCATTTTCTTGTGTAAGGCTTGATCTTTGCCACAACTTGGTGTGATTCTTGGGGTGATTCTGCGTCCAGGAGCGCGACTTTTCCGGCTCTTCCACCGCTCACTCGGACGTCGCCTCGCAATTCGCATACGTCGGTTCGAAAGTGAGAGAAATCGCAAGTGATGTTTGCTTTGATTTTCTCCATATTCAAGCCTGCGTAGCCAAGAGCACGAAACCTTACAAATGGTTTGCGAATTTCCTACAAATCGAATCGCACCTAGTCCTTGAGCTTTCTCTTCTTGAGCTACCGGTTGCTGGGCTCGATCCTGGTTTCCATTGCTGAATTTCCCCAACAACAAGTTCATCCGCCTGCCGGGATTGCTCCTGAAAAGAATGAACAGCTCTGGAACATCATCTGCGAGAAAAATTGTCAATCAAGAAAATTCACAGAGAAATTGAGCTCTGGCGCATCGATTCCTACAAACTATTGCTGCTCTGTGCTGGATGACGCTCAACAATTCCACGATTATCCAGCTCCCCAGTGCCGCGAAACAGAGGACAACTCTTGCGCTCCGGCGATTCTTCTTCCATCCCTTCGCCATTGCAAGGATTGAGAGAAACGGGCCAAGAGGTCTTCAATGTACAGCCGGGCCAAAGGCACGTATGACTCGGAGAAAGAACGAACGGTTTTGCAAAACAAAAGTTTTCTTTTTTCTCGATCGCAGCCGTCGGTGGCCAGAAGGTTGGCAGCCGTCGATGGGCGAAAATCCAAAACATCGTGTGAGACACCCAATTGAATCAAACAACCAAGCTTTGCTACACAGCTTTCACATATAAATTTGTGAATCATGGGCTCTCACTCACTACTTAATTCTTTCGTTATCTCCCCTAATTCTCTTTTGGTTTTCTTTTTTCCTTGCACGTCTCTATCGCCACCATTGCATTCATTTTGCTTACGTAGACGTCGCTGTTGTGGTCCGTCCGATCCGACGAAGCCGTGTTCCACGTAAAGCTGGAAGATGAGTACAACGGAGTCATTATCAGCGGGGTATCTTTTACACGAATAATACTCTGTTTAAACCCGGGCCTGCTGGCTTCAATTGGCTTGGGTTGGTGGCACATTGCCTTTAAAATTAAAATCGATAATATTAAATTAAGCCATCTGGCTGGCTTAACCTTTTGCGTCCAGATTTTGCTTGATCTACATAGTTGTTATCAAACTGTTCTGATAATTAAATTAAAATATATGCAAATATTAATGAACTGAAATATCTAGGAGCTTTAAAAGTAATGTAGAGCATAACTAAATACGTTTTTTAGAAAACAATAAAGAATATTATGTAATAGTACAGCTAAACTTTCATGGAATCTATTTATTTATAAATAAAAAAAATGTTATATTAAAATATTGGGATAAATCAAGAACTTGTTTAACTGTATTTTAAAATAATTGGAATTTACTTTTCGCTAAAGATATAAGGTGAAGCTATTATGGTTTTTAAATTTTTGATAAGTATTTTAATAATAAAATTAAAAGTTATGAAGTATGTGAATAATAATAATAAAAACATTTTTGTCATATAAACTATATAATAAATATACTTCATGATAATATAATAGTAATTTTTTATATATATTACTTATTTTTCTCAATTTTAACCATACAGTCCACTACACCAATTATAATGAAAATATAGATAGCCTATACCTCTCTGTTCATTTTTTTTCTTACAACAAACAAGCTTGCAGGATTTTTAAAAACTTAGAAGAAATAAATTTATTTATTAAAATTTATTATAATTATGAAAAATAAATTACAATAAATTTTATACTCTGAAAGAATTACTAATCTAGTAAAATGTATTTGAATTCTATACATTTAGTTCACTGGGTTATTGTTAAGTATATTTTGATATAAAAAATATATATCTAGACAAGAGGAAGCTATTCCTCTGAAAGAAATATACACATTCTTTTTTATTTTATTTTTTTGGTTGTTTCCTGGCTCATTAGATGGATTGAAATATATCATTTGTATGAGTTTATGTTTGGGTTCATAATTAAGGCATATTAGCAACTTAAAGTCTGGCAGAATTTATGTTAACATATTAGTGATTATCATTATTTATTACCATATAACTATAGGTAAACGTAAACCTCCCTTGAGAGAGAAATTTTTATATAATAAGTATTTAAAAGTAATTATGCATTTTTATGGCAATTGTGAATTTTAAAATTAGTATTAGAAACTAATATAACTTAAAAATATAAAACTTAATTTTCATCTTCTTATACACTAAGTTTGTAATTGGTGCAGACCCTAACCAAAAATAATTATGATTTAAAATTTAGAGAAACTAAAATCTTATTCATAGAATATACAAATGTGGTATATTAATATATCCACTTATTAAAATTATAGAAATAGTGTTATACTTAAAGCATTTTATGGTAACTTCTTTGTTATTATATGCATAAAACATAATTTTTAAATTTCTAATTGTGAGTGCTCAAGATATAGGAATAAGTATATTAATTGGGATTTAGACCCTTGCTTATATATAAAAATGGATAGATTAAATTTAATCTTGAATGGACAGTTTTTATGCTATAGTACTATAATTAGTGTATTACCTAACTAGGGTAATATGTATGTGTCTATGTGTATGTCTCTCTCTCTCTCTCTCTCTCTTTCTCTCTCTCTCTCTCTCTCTCTCTCTCTTTCTCTCTCTCTCTCTCTCTCTCTCTCTCTCTATATATATATATATATATATCTGTGTGTGTGTGTATGTATATGTATGTATATATTTTTACAAACCTTACACCATCTTGCCCTCTAGAAGATGACAACAAGTTAGGTGGAACATTTGGAGCTTTTGTGGGGCAATTATAAACTACCACAAGAATCTAAAACTCCCATAAAACTATTAACAAAGTTTCTAACAACCATGATTGAAAAAAAACCCAAAACTATTACATAAGCATTAGTCCACTATAGAATTTTAATGCACCACTTGCAACTTTGTGTGCAATTGCCAAATGCTTAAACCAACCATGAAACCATAGTTTCAAACTAAAGTAAAGGACTTTAAAAACTATTATTGTCTATAGAGTTGGTCTAAAGTTGAGTGTAAGCTCTTGAATTTGGACTTCCAGGGAGGTCATTTACCCCAGTACTATTGAAACCCAAAGACGCTTAACCTCAAATATTCCAAAACCCTTAACCGATTGGAAAAGGGGGTGCACTTTTATTTATGGGCCCTTTCCCTCTATATTTAAACCCCATGGACCATCTCTCAAATCGTTCTCTTTAGTTGCTTACAATCCACCATGCTTCCCTGCAAGTTCACGCCCTCATGAACAGAAGCTGAGAGCCATAGCTCTCCTAAGAGCCCCGCTCTCTTGACACCCTACCCCTTGGGTCGAGCCCAATAGGAGTAAACTGGACCAGCCACGTGTCAATAACATGTGGTATGATTCTCCTAGCCAACTAACAAAGTCAAACCCGAGACCGCTCTAATATCAAATATAAGCTCCCAAATTTGGACTTCCCATGAGGTCACCCAACCCAGTACTATTCAAACCCAAGGATGCTTAACCCCTAATATCCCAAGACCCTTAACCAATTGAAAAAGGGGGTGCACTTTTATTCATGGGCCCTTTCCTTTTATATTTGAACCCCATAGACCGTCTCTCAAGTTGTTGTCTTTGGTTGTTTATATTGAGTTGAGTTCACAAGTTGAGCTCAATTTAGCTCAAGTCAATACTAGTCATTATAGTCAACCATAAGTATTATAAGGAAATATTAAATCAGAAAAATGTTATTCTTTGGTGAACTTGAAATTTATGAATTTAAGTATCAATGGTTCAGAGAAATTTCTATTTTTTGAATCTTTCTAATGCAATTTATACAATAAAATACTGTTTCTAGAATTAGAAGTTCGTTTGAACCCATAGAAATTTTTGGGCTTTATTGGTCTCAAATAAAATGGGAATATTGAAGTTCGAATGAACTTAAAATTTCTATTGTACATTTTAACATTTTAACATTTCAACAATTGACCAAAAATATATAAATAATTTGAAACACTGATTCACTCATTCATTCTTTAGGGTTTACAGAGATGGGAAGCAATGAAGACAAAAAATCTGTAAGTAGTTTTAGCATACAGAAATGTGAGAATATTAATTTTGTTTCACTACCACAATTTTCATATTATACGCCTAGTCTTTATTACCCATCCGGAAATGTGGAGACCATTGTCACTATTGATAAAAATGCTCTTGTTACTTTTGAAACAACAATCCAAAGCAAGAGAAAAGAAGAAATGAATAGCACAGCAGAAAGCACTAATAAATCCACTCTATAAACCTTTCAATGGCTTTTGTAATCCACTAAAATAAATTTTAAAAAAAGTGTATATATATATATATATATATATATATATATATATATATCTTATTTTTTTTGATATGTTTTGTCTTTGCAAAGAGTGTAAGTATATATAATGTGGACAAATCAAAGAGTTACATTTATATATGATTTTGGGATTGAAAGGTAATCTTGCAAAAAGGCATACTCGTGTGCCTATATATATTCACCATTATTATATATGGTAGGCCAGCTTTATAAATTAAGGCTCCGTATTAATTATATGCTAGTTTTTAGCTTCTGAAACCTTATAGCCACTTGTTTCTCATAGTAAGTTGAAATTACTGAGACTGACAATTATGATTTAATATATTGTCATATCATAATAAAACATCATTCTTGAGATTGAAATATAGTATATTAATCAGAGAATTCTTATTTCTGGGAAGTTTAATTCTTCCTGTGTATTGCAATGGTTAGGAAGAACTTTACTTTTGGTCCTGGAGGCCTTTCATATGAGTCTCCACTTCCATCTCCAATCTCAAATAATAATCCACCTTCACCTCTACGCAACAATCCTTCTTTTCATTTTGAGGGCTATTGTGAGGCTCTTCTATTTGCGACCTCGAGTTCAATCTCAAGAATGATGTTTTATTATGACATGACAATATATTGAATCATAATTGTCAGTCTCAATAATTTCAACCTACTATGAGAGACAAATGGCTATAGGGTTTCAGAAGCTAAAAACTAGCATATAATTAATATGGAGCCTTATTTTATATAGCTAACCTACCATATATAATAATGGCAAATATACACAGACACGCGAGTATGCCTTTTTGCAAGATTTGCAAAAGATGCCTCAAGTGCAAGGAATAAAAATTCCTTTTTTATGATGTTATTAAAAGAGTTGAATTGCCCCCAAACACCAAGGCCAAGTGCCCCAGCTGGGCACTTGGCGCAAGCCGGCCAAGGGGCTTGGGGGCGATTCGGATCTGTTCCTAACACTCATGTGCAAGGACTTCTTAGGCCGTGTGCCTGGGGCGACCACTTGGCCTTGGCACTTGGCGCTGGCACCGGCTCGCCCCCAAGCCCTTTAGCCGGCTCGCGCCAAATGCCCAGTGCGGGCACTTGGCACAGGGACTTGGCCCGGGCTTGGGCCCGCCCCCAAACACCTTTGCCAGCCCACATGGAGTGAACCAGCGAACCAGCCCGCCCCCAATTGCCTTGGCTGGCTCGTGCCAAATGCCCAGCATGGGAATTTGGCACAGGCACTTGGCACGGGCACCGGCCTGCCCCCAAGCACCTTTGCTGGCCTG